ATTTATTTCAAAATAAGTAAACAAAAGTAAAAGGTAACTTATAAACTTGAAACAGATAATGAGATATCTTCTACAATTTATAATGCGTTAAAAGACTCTCTTTTGTCAAATGAAAAATATACGATTCGAAATATAACAAAGTCATCCTGCGGAAAGGATTAACGAAAAGTGGCGTCATTGTTGTAATAAAGCAAGTGACAGCAAGATCTGTATTGCAGTAAATATCAGTTGATGCAGATTCCTTTTTGGCAATGTCTGATGCCAATAGTTCATAGATTCCCTGTGTTCAGTATCGCGTCACCGTGCGTTCCGCATGTCACTTTGTCCCCTACGCCTTGCAGTCGGCGAGTACTGCAATTGCGGCCACAAACGGAATTATTTATAAGCTTGAACATGAGCCAAGCTTGTCTGCAAGCCACCAAGATTTCACTTCTCATGGCATTCTCTGATATCGGTGCTGAAAGCGCAAAAATATGTCATCTTCTTCAATATTCAAATTCAATTCTACTTTAATTACAATTATTTTGCATAGACAATTAATTTTTTACAAACTTGCAAAGAATGATTAGTTTTGTGTCTTCTGCTATCAGCAGTATAAAATTATCTGCCATAAAAGATTATTATAATTATTATGTACAAGTTTTTAAATATGTTATAAAACAATTACAGAAAGTAAAATACATTATTTTTGGTTAGCGAGTATAAGAATCTGTAAAAAAGTACAGTAAATACAAGTAAAAAGACAACAGAAGTAGTTTATATTAGATATTTAAAGAACTTGAACATAAATAATAGCGTATCTAAAAGAAGTTTTTTAAATCCAACAAATTAAGTAAATGTATTAATGGCTTACAGAAACTATAATTTGATATTAAAATTGTGGAGACTAAACATTGACTTTCCATTTAATCACATGATAATATGCTTTATGATTTTGCTTGTTTCTATTTATTATGAAATTACATGAATAAAGCGCATCGCTTTTGCGCCAAATTACAGGACGGTTAACTCTGTAATTAGCGACAATACCAGAGATTAAATATAGGATGATATCAATGTGCGCGATGTTTTAAAGCTTCGTTACATGAAGCATTTCGAAACTTTTCATTAATACCACAAATGTCATTTTAGACCATGCATGAAAACATAAAATTACCTCTTGCGTATATCAATTGATTCGAACGGCTACGTCGCAAATACAAAATGTAAACGCCAATAAACTGCAATTTCGAAGTTTAATGAATACCGTCTAATTATCAACTAGCAAAAATAATAACTTCCTCAATTAATTGCAAAAATATTTTTTTACATAAATGTTAGACTGCGCTTATATATATGTAAATATATATATATATATATATGTTTATTTATACAAATATTCATATGTACATAAATTGATAATTAATACTTGTCGACATATTTTGATAGAATACATTTATATGATTATATATTATGGATGCAGTTATCACAAATTCATATCTGTTATATTTTTGTAATTTTTTTCCAGATTCTAATATCTCAATCTCAGACAAATGAAATTATCTCATTTTCACATAAGAACCATAAGAGCGCTCGTAAATTTTCACTCCTTCGTAATTTCCAACTTCAATCAAGAAGCGGTCAATAAGATAAATGTAACTCCTGTCCTTGCCCTGCATCAATGTTACCGAAAACGGCGGGGGAATCCTTTCGGTATTTGGACCAAGCTTAGCATCGCAATCACCCTAGTTCGATCTGCTACCAGTGAGTGGCGCCACTTAATGGATCAGTAGATACGGGCCGCATTGGGTCAGACACGTTGCACTATTCTATTTCGAACGCAATAGAGATATTGAGCAGTGATATAACTTTATTAAGAAGATGGAATTTGTTCTGAAATTGTCGGGGAATATTTGAAGAACAAAATGAATTCTATTACTTTAATATCATTATTTCTTTATTTATTTTTGTTTGTTTTCCTACTTTCAAAAATAAAAATGCAAGAAACATTCTCATAGATAACTTATTCATGCATATGTAAATAGATTGTGTAATGTGACAATTACTATGTAATATATGCACACTAATTTTATTATTTTAACTGTAAATACATTTATAGCAATTAAACTTTTTATTAACTAATTAATAATATTGAAATAATTACGAAGTGAAACATCAAAACGTTTATATGTGGATCAAAATAATTATTTTATAAATAAAAACTTTATAGCTTAATAGATATTTAATTTTTTAAAATGACATTTTATAATATTATATAACATTGCAATATTGTATAAAATTTTATAGATATATTAAAGTAACAATTATTTTATATACATGTATGTTATAATTTTAAATGTTTATTTACACGCTAAATATAATCTTGGTTCATTTTTTTTAGTAGCACAAACAATATCAAAGTATTTTCTTAAATTTATCAATTAAAGAATAAAAAACGTTATTAGTTAATTTACTTTTTAATATCTCAATATTTGAAATATTTTTAGTATATATTTTCATCATGTTTACAAATATTTAAATAACATATACTATGTTTATGTATAAATCTATGTTTATTTATAACAGTCTCTTGTAAAAAAATGAATTGATCATAAAATTACACATAACGCTTCAAATCATGCACAATATTTGTTGCAAAGAATGCATGAAGATTGACAACGCATACAATGTAATATAGTTAAATATGACAGATATTTAGAAATGTCCGTATCACTTTTGCAATTCTTGTCATTTTTGCAATATGTGTCAGGTTATAAGAATGATATTACTAAAACAGATCTTTTAGACTCATATACGTATATATATATATATATATATGCATATATTTATATATATATATATATATAAAACTCTTTATACGTTAAGAAAGATTAATTTGTTTTATTGAGAAGTTAGATACAATAAGCAAGCCGAATTAATCCTTTCAATATTAAATTTTTAAATGAATATATGAAACTTCAATGGATTTATTTAATTTTTCCACGTACATATAAATAGATTGATGCAACATTATTCGTTTATCTGCATCTGTGCGTTTTGCTATTGTTATTATTAATAAAACAAAAACGTTTGTAATAAAATGAAATTATGAGAGAAAAAAGATTAATTTACGTATCCCATCAATCAATAATATTAAAGTTTTCCTTTTTCGATGTAAAAATATTATAAATAAAGGCCATTTTTATAAAAATTATTATTCATTTAGAAAAATTATCGCAAAATAAAATATATTAATAATAATACTGAGAAAAAGAATGTCGAGATAAAAATAAATGAAAAAAATCTGAACTTATATCCTAAAATAATGATATATTTAAAATTTTTGAACATTGATATTTTTAATAATTTTGTTTAATATCATTAATATTAGAAAAGAAAATTGTAAATCTATTTGGTAGACTTAAAAAAGGAAATTACTGTCGATGTTGAAGTTAAAAGTTGATAGACATTTGCTTAAAAGAAATGATTTATAAAAAAAAACTCTCGAGTAAGACCCGGAGATTGATTGACATTTAATCTAGACGAGGGCATCGTACACTGAAAAGCCAGTGAAAAATTAAATTGGAAAAAAAATCGCCGATGTCGCTAATAATTCGCGACGCATCATCATATAGTACTGCATTGGCTCCCGCATCGAACAACCCTTTCAGCGTGACGGCGAACGAGCGACTGTTGGCTCGCGTCTTAGCTCGTGTGATTCCGCGGACGCTCGGGAACGCCGGCGCCTCTGGGCGTCGCGACGGCGGGCGTCCAGGGCTGGCAGGCTGGCAGGCAGGCAAAGGCAGGCGTCCCTTTGCGCTCACCCCGCCAGACGAGTTCCGACTCTACGCTCGGCCGGACGTGACGTAACGCGCGCAGCGTGGAGAGCGTAGAAGACGACGTCGCCGTCGTTGCAACCACCTACGTTGCCGCCGCCGCCGCCACCGTAGTTAAATCTCCTCGTGCACGATCGTCATCGGCATCGTCAGATTTCGGACAAATCTATCCGTTTGTCGTGTCCTACATAAATTTTCGTCGGTGACGTTTATTCACGGAGTTCCGCACGCGTATCTGACAACACGACGCGCGCCGCTACGCTTCGCACGCACAGACGCCACCACCGCATGCAGTAACCGCGTGCACCGAGCACGCTTCAACACTTTTTGTGAATGAATCGCAGTGCACGGACGACGTGGGAAAATTAAGAGGAAATTGTTGGAACGAGAGGAAAGAACGCACCGAAGACGCGTGAATGAAGAAACAGAAGGATCGTCGAACCTGATTGAAGTGATCGTTTTGAGAGAACTGTGCGTTTCGATGTTCGCGAGGAAACTAAATTCGAGTTACACTGAATTCGAAACCGTAAAGTTTCTGCACTTTTTATAGATTTCGCAAACATAGTTTCGCAAAAGCGGCAGTGTTTGTTTGCCATTCTCTCGTCTGGAAGTCGAGTGAAAAAGTTTCGACGAACAGTTTCGAGCGAACGAGGCAGCGGCAAATGTTGACCGCTGCTAAAATTCGAGATCCACGCTGGTGTGACAACGTGGAGTAATGACGCGGGAAAGAGTCGCGACGATCTACATGACGACGCGATAGATCGTGAGGCGAAACATGCGATGAGCCACACCGTTTTTTATCGTGGACGAACGACTACATATCGAACGTCTTGCAGTGCGGATTCGCAATTAATACCAATCGAGTGATGCCATATTCGTGGGACACTAACACCAGTGCTCGATCCATCTCTTAATTACGACCGTATTCGTTACTTTCCTTCGATCGATCATTAACCAAATTCCGTGGCATACTCGCGTGATCCATTTGTACTTCGCATGAATCGCACACGCGTCGTTTATCATCTTTTCTCAATCCGATCACGTTACAGATCGTAGGATATTGGCAGAGATCGCGATCGCGTACCACGTTCAGTGTCATCGTCGTTTCGTCGATTTGTTTCGGTCACGTGACGAAACTACATTTTTCAACTTTCACCACGGCGAGACAAATTCGACGTTGTAAAGATGCTGACCATGTCGACCCTGATGATGCCTACAACAATGACCACCATGACGAATCCGGGTCCGATACCTGCACACAGCGTGCCGCAAAAGATGGAACCACCTAAGTTGACCGCAGCTACGCTCACCCATACGCCAACACCGGCCAATAAATCAGGTGCCACTTCTAAATTTATTTTACATTGTCATGCGTGCGCTGTTCTAAATAAACTTATATTCGGCTCTATTATTTATAGAAAGATGCATACCGTTTAATTCAAGGCAACGCGTGAACGTCGTGTTTACGTTATGCAATTAAATCGTCTAATTTTAATCGCCTTGAGATCGCAATCATTTTTATATTACATATTAAACATTTAAATACAACGTTAAAATTTAATTTTTGAGCGAAAAATTCATAATGATAATTTAGATTTAGATATTATGAAAAGGAAGGAAGATTACTTAAAATAAATAAAATTCGATTTTTCTTCTCATAATTGTAAATTATATAAATTGTTATCAAATGTCATTATAATTTTTACTATGTAAACGTCGGAAAAATGTTTATCAAAATGTCAACAAAGCATTATATAATGCGTATTTTTTCAAAATACATATATAATTACAACAGAAAATTTTTACTATAGCGAAATAATTATTCAAATATGTTATGCAGAGATATATTTTTCCAAAGTTAATAAATATATAGTCTTGTTTAATTTAACGTATATTCTTGCTTATTGCAAAGTGAACGATTTGCTTAAAGTGCAGATTGAACGATTCTTTGATGCATATAACGTATTATATTTTTCTCAAAGTTGCGATCATAACGCATTCCAATTTTGATGTCCATCAAAGAAGTGCTAACTTTTCTTGTGAAGGGAAAGGGGATAAGAACGGTAGGAGCAAGACCTACTCGATTGCTTGTCTCCTGCATTGAAATTCAAATGCGCATTGCGATCTATCAGTTAACAATCTGAACTATTTTACAACAACTTCATGATTGATTTCAGCACTTAAAAAAGTAAATCGTCTTGCGCGCGATACGGGAGCTGGCTCCCGTTAATTTGCCTCGAGGTAGCAGACGTTGCGACAACATCTGCCGGTAATAACCGCGTCACGAGCATTCAAGTCCCACGATTATCCACCGATTAAAAATGCATAATTGCTATTAAACCAGGCGCGTAGAAATCCGAGGATGGTCTTGGCGCCGCTCCAGAGCGGCGTAAACGCTACTCAAATGGCGTTCAAGCCAGAATTTTTCTCCGTTTAACCTAGGTAGGCGAGCCGCGCGAACAGAAACGATTGGCTCCGTCCAGGCACCTCGTAAGCCGGATAACATCTTTCGCTTAGCCCTTCGACGCGGAAAGTCGCGATAATGTATCGAACGACGCGATGCCTTCGCACGGCGCTGTGTTTGCATACGTGTACGTAATCCTAAGAATGGAATACGTACAGCTGCCAATAGGGCAATCCCTAGCCGCACATACTTAGCACGTACTAGCAGTAGTTACCGTTACATCACGAACGTACGTGTCGTGGGAGCGTAACAAGGACGCGGGTTCGCGGCACGCCGTGCCACATCGCCACGTATACTTGGCCTACGTAGTATGCGTGATGTCGGCTACGTGATCGAGGGTGGACACATGCAATTTATCGAAAATCACCCGGCATCACGACATTTCCCCGTGCGACGATTCGTACCTCGCTCCGTTCTTCGAGGATCAATCGTTACTAATTGTCGACAAGCGAAACGACTCAAAGCGGATTTCAGGATCGCGCGCGCTCATTGAATTTCTTCCTCTCTCAACTATTACCTTGAATTTTTCTTCATTTTTCTCATTGTCAGAATTCCTTTACCTGTTTAAGGACAATCGGAGTTCGTACTTATGGTCTTTCTATTCTGGCAGGTCGAAAATTTGAAAGGATTGCCATTCATTTACAACAGTTAGTAAGGTCAAAAAGGACAAGAGAAAGTGAGAAAAAGTTGTTGAATATTTTAACTAAATTAGGGTCCGGTTTCAATAAAGTTTCCGACGTGGGGTCCCTATTCTCAAGCCTTATTTACAAAAAATATCGTATGCGAAAATACTGTAGTATATGGTACGTATATTACAGATTTTAATAGGCCATATTTTTCAAGAATAAGACCCCTGGAGCGCGACTAACTACGGGAGAAAATGAAAAAAAATTTCCTTGTAAAACCAATAGAAATTGCAACGAAGAAGTAACTTCGTTAAAATATATATGAACTTATTTTAATTAGTAATATATGATATTTTACTTTAACTAGATCGACATAATAGTTAAAATAATGTATAAAATCAAGGATAAAGATTAAATTTTTTTAATTACGACATTTTTTATCTGCAGCATTATATTAGATGCTATAATGAAAGTAAGATAAAGGTTATAGATATGAGGATATGTTATTCTAATATATGGCTTGCAAATGAAACTTTTGACATAATTTTAGAACGATTAATCTAAACAATCTGAAAACTACGTTATAAATGATGGGTTTTGCGTCAGGTGGTACTACATTGTACCTCGGCGTGCCGCGAGTCACATGGTGCAACGTAATGTTAATGGTCGTCGTGTCAATGGTCTCTCATCACAAACTACCATTAGTAAAGTAGCTAATGCTCTTTGATTATGTAAATGCAAACTATTAAACGCTTTTAATAATGTCTACCTTTTCGTGATAAGTAATTAAAAACTTAATAAAAATATATGTCACTTGATAATTGTGAAGAAACAGGGGTAGCATTTATAATAAAGTAATCTACATGCCCTTACTAAGTTTTGCGATTTTTTCTAATTTTTTGCTGAGTTCAAAATTGAAAATTAGCGGTCACATTCAAAAGAGGGAACATTTTTTAACATTAATAAAAAAATATGAGACACATTAAAGTATTTATATAGACATCTGTATGCATTAAAGATTTAAAGAAAAAGTAGCATTCCGTGCATATACGGGATACATGTTCCCAATATGAGTATATATTTCCTTCTTTTTCGTAAAAAAAAAATGTTTAGAAAATGGGAAATAAAGCAATCTAATGTTATTTGTATAAGATTATAAGCGTATCAACATGTTTATTAACATGTAAGAATACACACAAAGAATTATTTTTTCCAAACAATGGACTTATCTACTTATTTACTTATCTATTTAATTCCATTATATTTAACAGGTGAATTAGAATTCACGATCTGGAATAAAAGTTACAAAAAAATGTTACAATCGATGTGTTGATTATAAACGAAGTTATAACAAAAATGTAAACTGAATATATAAAGTATGAATACAGAGCTATAATAACATGAACTATTGAAATTAATAATCATCTTTTGATAGTGTATGTGTTATAGGAAGTAATTACTTATCTACACAATATTACATCACAACCACGGTATTCTGCATTTTGCTTCACTGACGATAACAGAATGAACAAATTGAGTAATAAACTGATGCAATCCAGTCAGATGGATAATCTGCATGAGTTACTGTTGAATTAATCGGGTAATTATCTACAAGTAGTGAATAGGGCGTTTTGAATACACACCCTTATTGGATATCTTATATATATATATCTACTCGTATATCTATAACAATAGTTCAATAAAATATACAGTTAAGGAAAAGAATATTTGTGTAAATTATTTCAATACGGTTATTCGATACGCACGATCGATTTTTCTTTCGCTTGATATCGAAAGATTTTTCTGAGACAATGATTTTTCCGAACCCTCTGGAAACTGGTAGATGCACACTTCCACGTATAGATTCTAGTACCTAAAGGGTAAGTGCTCGTAAAGTTGTTTGTCTGCTCGATATACTGTAATAGCAAGGAGGCGGCCATTAGTACGTGAAATTCGTTTAAACGCAATTCGCGAACGCTGTAGTCCGCAAATTGAATTACGCAAAGGTTCAGTCTTTCTTACTGTCAATTTACATCGCAAAATATTATTTTGAAAGAGAACAATTGCTATATAAACTCGAGCAATTGCGTAAAAAATATTTTTTCAATAACAAGAACTGTCGCGAATTTTGCAATATATATAGTATTTTGCTGTTAGAGTATGGTATTACACTATCAACTTTAATCATCTATCCAACCACAGTTTTAATTAAATAAACGCCAATAAAAGTTATAGAAAGTTAAAATAATGAACAGTTAGTGTTGAAAACTATTTCATTGACTTCAACATTTACTATAAAGAGAGCAGTCAAATTTCTTGTTTCGAAAATAAAGAAATTATTTTTCCAATCATTAGCAGTACACTGCATTATTTGATGTTCATCATTGAAATCCATAAGAATGAATTTCAACATTTTCCTTATCGATTCAGTAAGTTTAACGAACTTCAACGACAGTCGATAAATTGATCCATGTCAAACATGGCTTGATCATCAGACGTCCCCGTGTCCCAAGCTAATTTAGCGAGACATGAGAACACATATATCTCCGAGGAACACTCGAGAATCTGTCGCATACGCGCATGGGTGCACGATCGGGAAAGAAGTGGCAAACGAGTAGGCAACAAGAGGCAGAACAATTCTTTTAGATAAAACGGAAGTCGACGATGGCTGCGCCGACGGCAACGAAAGCGCGAGCGATGGATGGCTTTAGCTTCGGTTTCCTGACGAGGTTACCAAAGTTTCGTTCGCAGATTCAATTTTAGTTGGCGCGCCAGCCCGCGCCACCACCATCCGCGGTTCTCAATGCCACGTAGGTACCTTACAGGGGCGGTTATCAGCCCTCCTTTCTATATTCACCCTCGTGCACCCGCGCCATCCACTCGCACGGCCTCTTGCCAACTATCCGCTACGGGGCCCCCCACTTTATCCAGCTGCGCTTAAGTTTCCACGTTTTCCACGCCTGTCTTTGATTGCGGCTTGTTTCGATCTCACGCGGAGCATCCTTGATTCTAGAAGTGACACGCTGCCTAATAACCTTTACGATTGCGAGAGTAAATCAGTCATAAAACATGTGAGATCTTTTATTAAATTATATATATAGCCGACTTAACTGTATAAATAAATTATATATTTCGGCAGAGATCACCATTTATTGGAATAAATGTTAAAAAAATTAAGAAAACTTGTTTCTGTTACGCGTTGTAGATCAAGTGAAATATATATTTATTATGTTATATTACAATTACATG